AGTCCGGCTCTGGCCGGCCAGTCCGACGGACGAGTCCCGCCAACGGTGCGTCGGAGACGTTCAGCGACAGCCCGCCCAGCTTCGAAGACGCACCCGGACAGCGCACCGAACAGCGCCTACCGACGGCCGCGTCGCGTCTGCCTCCCTTCTCGCCGCCGACTGCGGGCCCTGGGACGGCCCTGGAGAGCGGTCTAGCCCACCGCCACTCTCGGCGGGGGGCGCCTGGACGGCTGCCCAGACCGGCACAGTGCCGGGGTGCACCACTTCTGGCTGCCGGCGCTGCGGGGGCGACCTCCCGCTGGGGCGGGCCCGGCTGCCGCCCGGAAGACGTATTTCGGGGAGGTCTCCAACCGCGCACGGAGCGGAGAATGGGGTTTTCTGGTGGCGTGCTGCGAAACGCCAGGTGCTTCTCATTTTGAGCCCCAACCCGGTCGCTGCGCACTCGCATGGCTGCCGTGGCGAGGCGTGGAGTGGCGATGAAGTCGGTCTATTCACGTCACATCAATATCTGATCATGCGTACCAGGAGCAGGCGCAGGAGGAGGGGGGGGGGGGGGGGCGTGCACTGGGCGCAAACAACGTTAAACAGAATTGTTAGCGAGCCATTTCACTAATCGGGCTATGTAAAATCGCGTAGGTGCAGTTTTGCGACCGAAGATCTACAATATAACATTCGCCTAATTCCGACACATGGGTTGATAGGCCCCGGTTGCTTAGTCGTGTCACCTTGTGTTTACTGGTTCGATTCGGCAATGCGGCAATACGCAGAAGCTGGCGGTTTGCACCGCTGAAGGTGAACCTCTCTAGTTGTGTTTGACCTTATTCCTTCACCTAACGATATATAAGCCGACCGTATCTGTTAACTTAGATATATTCTTGACTAAACTGGGCAACAAGGGAATGACGTCTTGGGTGCTCTTTTACGACAGATAACAGTGGTGCTTAGCATCTCTTTCTTGGAAGCACTGGCTTACATATCATCTGTCTGTTGTCTACTGTGAATTAGACTATTAACGTTGTTGTTAACAGATAGCTCACAAATGTGACTTTATGATTCGTCGCGTGTCGATCTAACATATTCCAGTACGACTTGGTTCGCTATTTAAGTGGTTTCGGTACTATTGGTTCACACACGTGCCGAGGATCTGGCACGCGTATGTCACCTCCAGCATCAGCTGATGTCCACGTTACGCCACACTTTGGGTGTCCAAATTGCACCAGGGGCGAGGTTTTGGCGTTGCACTAGCGTCTAGGCTAATCCGAATCAGCTGGTCCGAGTAAAAGGGCTCTTGCAACACTGTCCACTTCTTTGGGGACCTCCCGAACTGGGAGGCAGGCCACAACCAAATAGTCGCCAGCAGAGTTAAAACTCTATACATGATCTGAAAGTAACACGCCATTACTATGACGAGCCACTGAAATATACCTCGTGTTCCATCCCACTAAAAATTGAAATTTTCTCGTCGCGAGAAAACCATGTGCAGATTTAGGGGTCCCACGACGCATTCTTGGCAATGCATCAGTCTTACGCCAAGCGTGTTCAAGGTGTGAACCGTATGTTACTAACGAAATCAACGCTCGCGACCTTTACAAGGCTCTTCCAGGGAAAGGGACACAATACCCTATGGGCGGCCTAAGCGTCATACCCGCAACAGTTCTCATATGAACGTCTTCAGCTTTCTCGCGCACCGCGTCATGGTCGACCGCAAAGGCCTGCAAAACGCATCATCCTATTCGTCGTTAAATTATGCGCGATCGTCCTGGCGGTCCAACCGTGCCCTCAACCTGCACGAGGATGTTCGACGTCGCGGCCGCCCCGCAGTGTTCCGCCACGCGCATCGTGCCCAGCTGCGCACTGAAGTCTCGGCACCAGTGACGTCAGCGCCCCGGACACAGCTGATGGTAACACAACTTACAGAAAGCCAGGTCGATGAGTAAGATCGATGGTTCTTGCGCGGCTGCCTCTTGTACTTGACCATCCTTTCGTCGTGAAACCAACGCATGGCTGGTCTTGTCGGATTGCGAGATGTTACGCACCTTCATTGGTTCGACCACCGGGCTTCGATGAACTGGTGCAACACAAGTATCGAAAATGTATTATCGTTAAAAATACCCATTGGTAACATATAAATTACAACTCGTATCGTATCACAGCAACGGAATGATATATACAGAATGTACAGATACCGCGCGCATGCACACCGCCGGGCGCGCGCTTGGGCACTTGGAGCCGAGTTTGCCACGCAGGACACGCTATCGATTTACGCCGCCACTCTCTCTATCTCGACAAGCCATCTCTTGACTTGCTATCACTTGGCACCGTCGCCCCCGCCATCGTTCAGCCCCAACCACACATACACACACACACACACACCACATCAACACCGGCCGTGTCTGACAAGACCGGATCTCTTGACGACTACTCGAGACACAGCTCACACGAGGCAAGGTCAGGTGCGTCCAGCAGCCAGCCCGGCGTACACACCGCACTGGTGGACTGCGGACACGCGTCCTGCAGCGGCCAGAGGCACGCCTGAGCCAAGGCTGAGCGGTCTTTGTTCCCTGCTGTGGTCCGCGGTCATTTATCCGCCCGGCGCGCTCGCCGGAGGCGGGGATGGAGGCCGAGCCTCTCCAGTGGCCACCCACTGCTGGAGCGGCCAGAAGAGCTCCGCAGGACTGCACCTCGCTCAGTCCACCGTCCACCGTCCACCGACTCGCCCCCCCCCCTTCGCAGGCACGCAAAGCAACGGGCGAAGCAACAAGCAACGAACACTCCTCTTCCTGGCCCGGGGTTTTGACACCCCATCGTGAAAAAACAACAAACACGCAGTTGGACCTCCTTCTTCCCTGACAATAGCCAGGAAGCTACGCTTGCGAGGGGCAAGATCGACACACGCCGCGACCGAACTCGACCCAGCTCGGCCCGGCTCGCACCAATGCCGCTTTTGAAGCTGTGCACCAGCGCCGACCCCGCCGGCAGCGCCCTTACCGCCGCCCGTGTCTGCTGCGCCAGCGCCACCTCTCCCTAAGGCTGACTTCGCACCCCGGACCATGTACACAACTGTCACCAGGTATAATGTCACTCCCCTGTCAAACAGCCCAGTGGCCGCGCTTGTGACGGCGTGTGACGTCACCGAAACCAGTCGGCGCTGTCCCTGCTGAGTGGCCGACAGCAACCGCCATCTATGTGCCGCCCAGGACGACCGGCAGGCGCGTAAGCTCCGCTGGCGGCCAGCGCATCCCAAGCATCCCGTTATCGGGGTCGGTCTGTCCCCGGTGCGAGGCCGAGGCCGACTCACGGCCTCGGCAGTGGTCCCGGCTCCATGTCACAGCCTTGGCGTCGGTTCGAGCCTTGGTCTACGTTCCGGAGTTCGACTTTATCTGGTTAAGGTTCCGGTCTTGTTCCCGCCAGGGGTATCAGAACCGGTTTTCTTCTCTGTGTCAGTATGGTTGGTCTGGTCTGGACCGGCTGGCTGGTCTGGTCTAGTCTAGTACATTCTAGTTTCGTCTGGTCCAGTCTAGTCTAGTCTAGTCTAGTCTAGTCTGGTCTGGTCTGGTCTGGTCTGGTTGGTCTGGTCTGTCTGCTCTGCCACCACCGGTCTGCAGCAGCCACGAAAAACTGGTACACTATTGCGAATGAAAAATCGTTAAACAAAATATTCAGGGAGAGACCTTTGTGCCGGCGTGAGGCCACAGAAGCGGTACCGGTGACTGATCGCCTCTGATGATAGTCCGAGCGTAAAAGTAGTCTGTCATGCTAAATGCAAAGATGTTGAGCATCTTCTCATTTGTCACGCACGCACCGGCCCCTGCCAGTACTGTTGGGATCAGTCTCAGTGTCAGCCAGTGTCAGTCAGCGTCAGTTCAGATCACTCCCAGTCCCCGCCGCATCAGCTGAGCTGGCGCACCTCGCCAAATCAAGTGAAGAGGAAGAAATAGGCTTCCTGCAACACGCCCACATCTCGGGCATCTGTGGTCTCACTTTGGTGCCGCGCAGTCACCGATCCGCCGGTGTGGTGTAACCACCAACCTTCGCCGCAGTCGGACAGAACGAGCGGATTCCATATTGCACGTTTTCGGGAAGCCAAGGCATAAGCCGCCCCACCGCGGGTCGCCCGTCCCACCAGCCCTGGCGTACCCCAGCGTCCTGCCGGAGGACTTCAGCCGGTCACCTCCGCCGGCTCCGGCTCCCCCGGCCAGAACCGCGGCTCATCGGAGCCGCTGCGTCTCATCACTGCTGCCTGCGCCGGCAGACTCACTAACCGGCGACTCCGCCTCGTCAGCATACTCTGGTTCACCGCCGCCCCGAGTCACCCACGGGCTCCGGCTCACCGCCGCCCCGAGTCACCCACGACCGGCGCCCCGAGTCACCCACGGACCCTGGCTCACCGCCGCCCCGAGTCACCCACGGACTCTCACCGGCTCACTACCGCCCCGAGTCACCCGGACTCTGGCTCACCGCCGCCCCGAGTCACCGATGGACTCTGGCTCACCACCGCATCGAGTCACCCACGGACTCTGGCTCACCACCCCCCGAGTCACCCACGGACTCTGGCTCACCACGCCCCGAGTCACCCACGGACTCGGCTCACCACCGCCCCGAGTGACCCACGGACTCTGGCTCACCCGCCCCCGAGTGACCCACGGACTCCGGCTCACCGCCGCCCCGAGTCACCCACGGACCCTGGCTCACCGCCGCCCGAGTCACCCACGGACTCTGCTCACCGCCGCCCGAGTCACCGAGGACTCTGGCTCACCGCCGCCCCGAGTCACCGAGACTCTGGCTCACCGCCGCCCCGAGTCACCCACGGACTCTGGCTCATCACCGCTCCAAGTCATCCAGGGACCTGGCTCACCGCCACCGCCGTCACCCGCGGCCTCCGGCTCGCCACCGCGCCGACGCCGCATCAGACCGACTGGCCGCCGCCGCGGCCGGCGCGCAGGCTCTCATTGACCAGCCGGTAGTAGCGCAGGTCGCTGACGAAGCGGTGCAGGTCGCGCTGAACGTGGGCAGGTCGGTGCGGCGCGGCAGCAGGGCGGCCAGCGTGCGCCGCTGCGGCGCGTCCAGGCCCGGCGTGTCCAGCAGCACGCCCGGCACGAACCGGTCGAAGAAGTCGGCGAAGTCGACGGCGGCCAGCTCGTGCAGGCAGCCGGCGATCTCGTCGCGCAGCAGGTCGTGCGAGCGCTGCAGCAGCGTCTGCAGCAGCACCGTCATGAAGCGTGCCAGCAGCAAGCGGCGGAACACCGGCTGTCGGACAGAGACGGTCGGGGTTAGGGGCAGGTGCTGGCAGCGACAGCACAGTGGCGACACGGACACCTGGGGCCGTTAATGGAAGATGTACGCACGCCAAACACGTGATTACTTCGGTTCAGTTAGATAAAAATAGCACGTGTCATTGAGTCTCTGGCGCCCGGCGATGGTAACTGAACACGGCAATACTCCCGACATTTCCCGGTTTTTGCTGGCTTTAGTCGCTTTATTCCTGCAAGTTACTACTAAGCAAGACACCGGTGTAAAACAAAGCTCTGTCCAGCACAGAAAAAATGCAAACCACCGAGTTTTCGACACCCTGTTTCCTCACTATAGAAAATACTAAGCGCTCCAAGGAAATGACTAATATCACCCTGCTAAAAGGCCTGATGCATCAACTGAGGCATGTGATCCCACGTCGGCAAATCAGCCGAGACAAGCTTGCCCCCCCCCCCCCCCCCACCGCACTCGGGCCCGACCTTGTGATAGAGCTTCCACTTGCAGTTGAGCATCTGCAGTGTGGCCAAGTTCAGGCGGAACACGTTGATGTCGGCCTGCAGGAACGACTGGCCCATGGCCTCGAGGATGGCCACGAACTGCTTCTCGTTCGTCACCTCGTCCTCCTCGGCCACGGAGCTGAGCGTCTTCAGCACCGAGCTCCTGCGCAGGTCAACGCGCACGGTTGACACAAGTTCGGCGGCGGCAGCCCGCGAACGAAGCATGACAGCACCCAAGAGTGGACTTTTCCGTTCATGTGTATTTCCGAGGCAGCTCTAGTCCAGCACAGCATGGTCGAAATAACATGTCTTTGCTAGATCGAGCATGCTCACACAGATGCGTGAGGACTTGACCGCGGTCAGGAGTAGTTCTTCGCGATCTGGATTCGCGCGAAGGACCTGACCTTCGTCCATTTCCAATACGATACACCGGCGACCAGCTGACCGCCG